GCTGCTCAGAACAGAACATATGCTCTGTTCTGTTCACACTGCTTAGGAAATATGTGTTAGTATATATACTTCCCTTGAAATGGAAGCTAAAATTGCTCTCTAATTCATCACTTGTCAAATGTAAGAACTCCCTCTCTGATGGGCTCTGGTAGCAGAAGATGCAAGATCAGATCCCAGTTCTACCACCTCCACATCCTTGGTCAGGTGTGTACTCATGTTGGCCAGATCAGGTGGGAGAGGCACTAGGATTGGGATAGAAGGGAAAATGGGTGGTTTGGGGACATGGTATTTGGAGACATGGGTAATGGTGATGGGTTGGGGAAATGTCTCTGGTAGGCATGAGATGGAGGAAGTCCCGTCTTCGGTGAATATTCTGAGATACCAGAGATCACTTGAAGCATTTTTTCTCTTAAGCATTAGTGTCCGGTATGTTCTGCCTTGGTCAGGCTTGGGGCAAGAGAGGAATTGTGGGTTGGTGTGTGGCAGTCAGAAACTTAACTTTATGAGCCTCAGATTTCTTATTAATAAAATGAAATGTTTAATGACTCAAATGGTTATTATGGGACTTGACTTGAACCTGAAGTAGTATGGAAATTACCTGAATCCCTCCTGAGCATTCTTTTACTTCTTTCATCCAGTAAGCATTTATCAAGGAACTATGCATTCTCAATACCAGAGACACTTGGTACTGTTCTCCCTTTCCCTGCACACTAGTGCTTGCAACATCTCCCCTGCCCCCATCCTTGAAATGTCCTTATGAAAAGTACCAGCTGCCACGATTCATTTTACAGCAGAGAATTTTGCAGCATAGAAAACATTTAGAGAAGAAGTAGGGCCCCATTCTTTATTTCTTCTTTCAAGACAATCCAGTATTTCAAAAGGACTCTTTCTGAACTCTCATGAAACTGGCTGTCTTTCCAAGGCAGGTAAAGTAGTATAGTGCTCTTAGCCTCAGCACTGCTTACCATGAGAGTCACTAGGGGGCACAGGTGAGCCGGCATGGAAGGTTCTGCAAGCCACAGACTGCTTTTAGATCTGACAAAGATCTTCATTGCAAACAGGGCCCTGCCTATGGGTGGGGTGGGTCTTTATCTAACTGATATGCTTTAAGGGTACTGACATGCTGGCCTGTACCCTAATATCTCTTTTGACAATCTAACTTCAGGCCCATCATTAAAGACACTCCTTTAAGTCAAGATCAAGGTCTTCAAAAATTTCTTATTGAAGCACACATTTAACATGAATGAGTTGATAAAATTATTTAGCTATTCCATTACAGCCTGAGAGATCAACATTTCTTATGGGTACAATTTGATATTTATTTATATTGATCAGAGACAATGTCATAAAATTCATGATACAAGCAAAAAAAAATCTGCAAAATTTTTGATGGTGTCACTGTTTATAAGTTTTTTTACACACAGGGTAATCACTGATTACATTCTTACAAAATTGTCTGTTATTCCTCAATTGAGAGATAAATTTTTTTTTAAGTATTAGCAGGAATGAGACCCCTCAGGAGACCATGAAGCCCTTCCCTTGTGGAAGGAAAAAGTTGTGGCTTGGGGGAAAAAAACCCAGGTCATGGCTTTAGAAGCCCACTGTGGAAATCACCCTCCCCTCACAGTTTTTGCCCTAGAGCCCACTTCTCACAGCTCTCTTCAGTCTGATTTACTCAAGAGCAGGCAGATTCCTAGGACTGGGCTTCAGTCTTGCTTTGTCTCAGAGTTCGCTCTATGTTCTGGCTTCACCAGGGAACCACAAGATTTTTTTTCCAGCTCATTTTCTTGCTTTATCTCTACAGCCACCACATCCTGCTTCTGGTATCAATTCTTATGTCCTGGTTTTTTTTTTTTTTTTAATTCAAGGAAAAGGAAGAGAATGATGCATTTGACTTCTGGGGAATATTCCAGAAAGACAAAGCAAAGTAAAGAGGGGCATTTAGGTCAGGAAACAGTAGAGAGTACGCTGTGGAGTAGGCCACCAGCTTTTAGCCCAGCAACCCTTGGCCTAGTCTGTTTCTGCCTCACAGGTCTTTCTATCCACCAGCATTTTTTAAACAGCATTCCACAGAAACCCTGCGTTCCTTAAACACCTGGAGGGGAATACCACGAGCATTTAGAAAAATAACTCAAATCTTCAGCATTACAGTACCTGTCAAATTTTGGCTGCAGCTTTTTTCTTTTTTGACAAAATATTGTAAAGTTTTTTTTCTTTTCTTAAAGATCTTTAATATTTTTTAAATGTTTTTATTTACTTTTTATACAAAAGCTAGAGTGTAAGCCCGAAGTATGGGGCGGAGGTGAGAAGATTCACCAGAGACAGAGTGGGGAGCAGAACAGGAGAATCTACTGAAATAACACCGCTGAAGGGAGCAGCGGTTGAGACAGGAGAGGTCTGCTGCACTATATGGGTTAGCAACCTGGCTGGCGATTGAACTTAGGCTGTAGCAGTGATTGTGCTGAGAATTAACCCCTACGCCAACAGGGAATCCCCAGTAGAGGTTTTGCTTTAAAAAGCGATTATTATCCCTTAGTGCTCCAGAACCTCAGTACATTCAAGAAACATGGCCCTAAAGCAGGGAAATGAGCCCTAAAGGGAGTGCTTGGCCTTGAAAGTGCAGGCTTTACTGAGCCAAGATGCAGGTCAAAGAGTGCCAGGTTGATTTTTAATTTTTGAAAGAGAAGATACTTAGATACATTTTGTGAAACTTTCTCAATGTTTAAAAGTTGTCAACTAAATAAAAAACAAAGCAAAACCAAGAAATCTTCCTGCTGACTGCCTGAGTATGGTGGCCTCTGGTCTGGGAGGGCCATGGCTGGGGGTGTCTTGATTTACAGTCTGGCTTGGCTGGTACTTTGATGGACACTGCCTTCTGGACAGTCAGTCACTTGAGGGAAATCCTCACATCCCATCATCATCCTCCAAGGGCAGGTCATCACACCAAGGGCAAATCCTACTTTGAAGGGGGAAGTCTAAGAAGGGGGTGTCTAGAGCCTGGATAGTCTCCTTCAACTTTAGATTGTATGACCTAACTACTCTTGTAGGAACACTATTCTGCCTTTCTCTTAGGCTTAATTTAAATTTAATTTAAAAATTAAATTTTAAAAAAGTTTAAGTTAAGTTTTGCACAATCCTTTCTAGAATATTCTCCGGAAACACCTTTCTGCCTACCTTTTTCACTTCATTTAAATTTAATTAAAAACTAAATTTTGCACAATACTTTGAATAATGCTTCAGTATTCACTACGATTAAATATGAATCTTTAAAAAATTCAAACAAATAAAACCCTTGTTTTATACTGGCTAATCTCAGTCTTCTAATTGGCACCAGGGAAGAAAATATTAGATTGCTAAGCAATGACTCTTTTGCCCAGTTTTCCTAATTGTTAATTCTTTTCAAATTCTCATCTCTACCTTATTCTTCCAAAGCCCACAGGTATAATGATATTATTTTTTAAGATTAAAATTAATTACATATTTCATCTTTCCTTTACAATTAATTATATAAAACTGTCATTTATACAATGTCACACAATTATACCAAATAAATTGTGGTTGGTTTTTATATGTCTTTAAAATGACTTAAATGTTATAATAATAATAATAATAATTATTATTATTATTATCAATGTTCACTTGGGACTCATGATGGTATTAAAATGTGAAAATGTCCTCTTTGAATGATCTTTGATCTCACATGGAAAATGCAACTGTATGATATGCACCAGACTTAGACCTTTATATGTGTGTGATCAATATTTTTATTGAATCTATGAGTAAATAATGAGAAAGAAATGTCAGAAATTATTTTTTCAGAATGAATACCTACATGTTTTCACTGAAGAAGCTAAGTTAAGCATGTATAGTTCAATATTAGGGCTTCTGAGTCTCTTAGATGGGTAATTGAACTTCAGAAGATTGAAGTAGAATTTGGCCTTCCTTATCACCCAAATAGTAATTCCAGTTCTACCTCTTTTATCTTTGCCATATCAGTGCATCTGAACTCTTGCTATATTTTTAAGTCAACTCCCTATTTTATTCATTGATGTCACCATTATGAATAAAAAATTAGAATCATTATCAAACTTAAACACAGTATTATTGAATTTTCAGTTAATGTTCCTTGCATTCCTGGAGCCTGAGGCTTGTTCTTTCTTTCTTAGTAAGGGGAATTATGGAGAATTAGAAACAGTAAGACTTATTTCCATCAAAATACAATTTTTTCCAGATAAGATCAAAGGAATTGAAGGAGAATTGACAAGGGAATACCTTTCTACATTATTGAAAGATAGAGCATATCTGTGTACCATGCTTAGGAAAATCTGATCTAGCCCTACTTCCTCATTTTACAGATGAGCAAAGGGAGCGGTATGGTGTCCTGCCCAGCTGCAGACACGTCCCAGCATTCCTTATACTCTGCCCCAGAGCAGTGATGCCTAATCTCTCTAGCTTGAAGATGCATACTTGAAGACGGATGACTTCATGAAACCAAAAAGGAAAGAGAAGTCCTGAGGCAAAAATATAGAAGAAGTGGAGATGTTCTGGGCCTCCGAGAGAGTGAAGCGCAATGGTGTGGGCGGGAGATTTGGGGGTTCTTTTTCCTGCCCCAACTTTTTTTGCAGATGAGGTAATCCAGGGCCAGAGAAAGCAAATGCCTTGCCCAAGGTCTCAGGGCCTCTGGATGGCAGAGGGAATTATAACCCCTATCTCTGTCTTCCAAGCCTGCATTCTTTATATTCAGTTTTTCAGTTCTGACATTCCTGTCTGCCTATAAAATCCCAGAAAGTACCCACACTCTGTAAGTATGAGGGCTATAGTATTTGAAAATGTGCCATTGTTGTTACTTCGGACTAGTAAGAATATCATCTTTATCCCTGTACCAGATGCCCCCGGAGTCATGCCTGCTGGTAATTCATCCTTACCCACCAGATGGAAGCACAAAGAGACAGTGCACATGGAGAGTTGGGAAGCTGCTCCCCACCATTGCCATAACTCACCGCAAATCGTTTCCCGCAGCCTTCATTGCCACAGCAGCCGCAGCAGTCATTGTTCTTCAAGCCCAAGAACACCAGGGCAGGAAAGATCATCTATCGGCAAGAAAAGCACCTCAGTGGGGCGGCATATGAAAGAGGCCCGAGCCTGCCTGGCTGTATGAGCCTGCCACTCACATCATGATGTGGGACTTGGTGCTAAAGAGCATGGCAAGAACTATCCAAGTATGCCTGGTGGGGTCGATGAGTATTACTGATGATTTAGGTGTCATCTGTCCTACCCGCAGCTTCAGTGAGGCAAGGTTTCATGAGCTAACACCCCGAATTTCCACGTATAGTGTGTTAGGACAAGGTTAAGAAATTGTCTTAACTGGTCACAAATAGTGCATTTCTCTCTCGAAACTAGGGGTTCTGAACCTCTGTTAGAAACAAGGGATAATGAAATCAGTGCAGAAGTGGAGGAGGAAAATGCCTGCTTCTCTTGGCAGTTTTGGATCAATTTATTCCAACACTATCTTGTTGGAATAAAGAAATTATGTGACTCTCAGTTTGGGTCACGGAAATCAATTGATACATGAGAACTGCCAGCTTGAATAATAAATTTAGTGGCCGTGTCCTTGTCGGGTCTAACAGAGAAGGAAACAAAATTAAGGCCTTTTGTTAGCAACTAAAGATCTTCCTGTTCAACAAGCAACATATTTTAAGAGAGGGGAGTGTAAATCTCCTTTGGGGAATTTTAAAGCTTTCTTACTTACCAAGATCCCGCTTCCTAATATTCCTCCAAAATACCACACCTCCTGGGAAAGGTGGTCATTGTTGTCGATCACTTTCCCTCCAGGGAAAAATAACAGGATGTTAGCCAGGAAGCCCAACACTGCCAGGGGAATAAGGGTGCCCCCCAGGCACTTGGCACAGCTCCCAGTGCACATGCTGGGGAGTGCACAGTAGGTCTGCAGCAAAGGCCCCTCTTTGCTCCTTCACAAGGTCTCCTCAGAGCCACTGGGCAGTTTCGCAGTGATCGTCACCAGTCCGTATTGGGGAGCGAGAAGCAAATGAGCCAGTGAGCTGTGTCCTTGGTATTGCTTCAGCCTCTCAAATGTGGCCCAACATTTATACATCCTCTTTGACCTGATGTCCTTTTTTTTGCTCCCCATAAATGAGATTGCATGCAGATCATTTTGCCATGGAGACCAATAACCTCTGTTAATAATCCACCAGCAGACACAAGACACATTGTTGCAATCGAACACAGGGTAAAACAAACAGCATGTGGATCTACTGCACCTTTAATTTGACAATGCCCCTGTCCAAATTAAAAAAAAAAAATTTTCCCAGGCTCTTTATAAATCACTGTATAATTGGGTCACATCCTATTTAAAATCATGTTTCCCAAGTGCTTAATGGTCTACAGTACATATCTTTGTCTTTTCCGCTGAAAGCCTGGAATGAGGGTTATCCAACAGAGCTTCTGTTTTCCTCAGTATGAAAATAACAATCTGATGGTCTAGTTCAGTATTTCTGAGTCCAGGCCTATAGGAGAATGTGTTAAATGACAACATCAGGACAGCTATTCATTTAATCACCTTACTACTGTATTTCTGTACTTGTTACTTTATTAAGTTCTATCTCCTTCCTTACCTGGTATGATGGAATTAGCAAAAGACAGCTTTTCCAATCAACTTTTCCAACTGTATTTTCCATCTAGGAATAAAATTCTCTACTTTCATAAAGGAGATGGGGAAAAGAGAGCTGACTTTGGATAGACACTGATGTATAAACTGGAGGCAGAGCAGACAAAATTGGAAGAGCAGGTAGAGAGTGCAGGAGGCATTAAGATGGACCTTTATTGGAAAGTTTTCCAGCTGCCAGGGACGTGGTTCAGTTACTGATTTGTTTTGTGTCGCTGAAGAAGGTCCGCCATGCCTAGACCAAGACCTACATGGTGGAACTAACTTAACAGCTGAAGGACTAAGGGGTTGACCTGGGAACCTGGTAGTTCTTTGTGAAAGCCTAGACAATAGAATTAGGGACAATAGTTAGAATTTTATTGGGATTCTAATTTTAGCTAGATAAAAAGCAAGCAATATCATCATGGTGAGATGTGTGCTACAATGGAATAGGTCACCTGCTTCCCGGGAAGCAATGGGCTGTGTTCTGCCAAAGCTCAGGGAAGCTGTGGCAGGATTCCAGAGAACTCAGACAGGATGGGGCTGAGGGTCCTTCTAGATTCTATGAAATGTGTACTGGCTGTTCTATAGAGATGGTCCCAGAAATCTCAGGGTTGGGGTGAGAAGAAACAGCAAGTGTTTACTGAGTGCGTAATCTGCTGAGCACGAAAGGGCAGTTCAATCCTCCTCTCCCTCCTTGAAGTTCTGAAGGGACAATCAATCGTTGAACAATGAACAAGTTAGTCACCTTCCAGGTTTGAAGTCCGAGGAGGTTGAGGCATTCCAGAAGAAGGTACTGGACCTCTCTATAGGTAAAGAAACCAGCTCAGAAGATTAAATATATTTTGCAAGGTCTTTCCAGTACAGTAAGAGAAGCAACCAAGATTTTAAATCAAGTCTCTTTGTCACCAAAACCAAGGTCATGGTCTCACTAACAGGTTATTTCTTTTAGAAATTAGAAAATAAAAACCATCTTTTCAATATGAATGATAGAATGGTGCTAGGTGTGAAGCATATGGATGAGTGGGCTATACGTCTCTTTGAACAGCACAATTTTGGTTTTTTTTTCCTTATCATAAAATAATATGGGCTTTGGGTTTGGTTTTTTGTTTTTGTTTTTGTTTTTGTTTTTGGTGGAAAAATCAGCTATACAGAAGGCAGAAGGAAGAAAAGGAAAAGCAGCTGTGTTCCCACCACCAACAGATAAGGACTGTTATTGCTGACAGTTGTCAACAAACCAAGCAGGTGCAAATGAGCTTTAATTATAACCCACAAGCCTTGACAGAGAGTCTTGAGAGTATCCTGCCAGGGAAGAAAAGACCAGGGTCCCAGTTACTGTGCTTGTCACTTTGGAGCTCCACTGCGGGAACATTTTTATTTTATTTTTTCTTTCTCTAAGGCCTTTGCCTCTAGACGTTTGCATCATGACATTGGAATAACACTGGTCCAGGGAGCCTTGATACACTAGATTTTTCAGTCTGGCAACAGGATTTGCCAATCTGTACTATCTAAGTGAATAGTGAAAGCATATAGTGAACCACTCTTTATAGTTTTCTCCCATGATAGCTGAGAAGGTGTGGTACATGAGCAACTGGGAGGGAGAAGCCTGCCGTCATTTATTTCCTGTGTGGAGAAAGGGAAACCCTGAAAGACAGTGCCCCTTCTGGAATGCCCCACCACCTGAGACTTCATACAGCTGGAGCAGGACTAACTTATTTATTGTTCAGCTATCAATTGTACCTTCGGACCTTCCAGCAGAAGTGAAACACCTCATTTAGAGAAGAGGGGTGGAGTGGGATGGGGAAGAGAGACTTGGGGAAATTCACCCTCAGGATGGGGTGGGGGTCGCCAGCAGACTGCTCTAGTCACCAGAGAACATTTTTATGAGATCCTGGCGATCCTTGTGCTGCTCGCTCCTGATGGTTTCTTGTTTACCCTCTGTTCCTGTGCTGTCTAGTGGTGAAGTCCTTAGAAAGGACTCTAAAGGCCAGAAGGTGAGTGTCCTCATTTTCAGAGAGAGCCTAGAGGAGACTGTGGAGAGTGAGTTCCACTTTGGACCCAGTTCTGTGGGAAGCAGACTTCAGAAGGGAGAGCAGATGGCAGCTCAGGAAAGGACAGAAAGACAGCAGGGGTCCTATCGGGAAGAAAGGAAGAATATAGCATATCTGACTTTTCCATCTCACATCAAATCTCCCTCTGCAACCTTCGCCATCTGGAATGAAGCAGCCAGAAGTCCAGGGGTTCCTCCTTGTGATGCAGGCATTTCATTTCTGAGTTAGCAAGCACAGGCGCCTCTGATCACCTGAGCACATGCGACATTAACTACTGCTCTACTTTCCCCAGCCTGCTAAACTTCACACTGCAATGGATGGAGAACCATCAGTTCCGTACAACGGAATGAATCAGTTTGAAGCAACACAGTGACCCCACCAACGTGCTAAGAGGTCTCCTAGTGAACAAAATAGATCTGACTAACTTTCTACTCTCAATGGTATTACTAAAGTCTCTTAATTGTGACAAGAGTAATTGCACACATAGGTTTAATAAGAACTTATTCCTTAGCAGAAAAACCAGCAATAGTTTCTTCTGATTATGTTTAAGAATATCACTATCATTTATTCATCCAACACATCAGGAAGAAAATGAGGGCCCTTGACACGTTCATATTTGGGTGTCTTAAAACTCAGGTCCCCATTTTTAGTTGCCTAGATTATGGAATAGTTTCTCAAAAAATGATTTCCAAAAGGAGGGAAAAAATAGAAAAAGAGCATTAGGCACTGCATGTAGCAAGAATAAGGCTTATTTTCCACAATGTCTGTAATTTGTATATAGATATTGAGTAATAATGCAAAATGTTTTGTTTATTATAGCCCTCTAATCAAAAAATAAAGGTTAAAGGTATTCAGTGAGTTAATGATCTTTTGAAATGAGAGTTAATGATCATTATGAAATGCAAATATGAACTTATATGCTCTTGTATAAAACCTTCAGGAAGTTCCCTTTGTCCTCGTATCTTTTTTTTTTTTAAGTATTTTATTTTATATAATTCTTACATCATTTTTCATTTTTGCACAATGTATGCATTTTCATTTTGGTTATATTCCCCATACAATTGCACCCCCCCTTATTTTGACCCTAGTCCTTCCTCTCCCCCTGCTCCCCGCCCCCTGCAATGTGTCTCTGGTTTATAGTTGCTTGCTGATTTTGATTTTTACTTTGTATTAATTAGTCTTTTTCCTGGTCCCTTATTTATGTTTTCTAAATTCCTGCTATGAGTGAGACCATCCAGTATTTTTCTTTTTCTTTCTGACTTATTTCGCTGAGCATGATCCCTTCTAGCTCCATCCATGTTGCTGCAAACTGCATGTGTTTATCTTTTTTGATTGCTGAGTAATATTCCATTGTGTATATGTACCACATCTTCTTGATCCAGTCATCTATTTTGAGGCATTTGGGTTGTTTCCATAGCTTAGCTACAAAAAGGAGCTCTCCTGCATTACTGTTGGGGGTGCAAACTGGTCCAACCACTATGGAGAGCTGTGTGGAGATTTCTTGACCTACTAAAGATAGAGCTTCCATATGATGCAGCAATTCCATTCCTAGGTATTTACCCAAATGTCCTCGGATCTTAAACTCGGCTTTCTTTGACTTGCCTTCCTGCAAAATTTTCATACTTCCTTTCTGCTCCCTTTACCTGCTTGGCTCAGTGACTCAGTGGTTGCTTCTTCCAAGAGGCCTTGTTTTATTAGAAAAGGGTGTTTCACCATCAAGATATGTTTGTGACCATCTGGATAATACAAAGTTAAATAAACTTCCGAATGACATAACCTTTTAGGAACCTTAGTTTTCAGTGCCTTCCAAACTTTCTGTTGACCGAATTCCTCCCTTGTAGCTTATTTTTCAGGATTACGATTCCTAAAAATATTCTTTGGGAAATTTGTACCTTTCTAATTTCTCAGATGCTTGTGATGGAATCTGTGTTGGCAGAGAAGTGAAGCAAAAGAAGTTTGACAAAAGTGTATGTCGCAAGTGACATGAAGTATGATTTAGGAGATTGTGAGGAGCTGGGTACATGAGATGGAGGTAAACTAAGAGCAGGGCTTGCAGTCAGTTCAGCCTCCTCTGACCTGAAAAATTGACCTGAGGGAAAGCCGAGGAACAATGAACTCTAATGCTTCAGGACTGGCTCCTTCTTGCCTGGATCATTTCAGCATGAGTGTTCATTAGGGGCCTCTTTCTTGGGAGTGGCTGGACTATAAAAA